TTGTACTCTCGTTGTACATAAATACGTGAGGATTTGTAACGACGCGCAGTAGCGTAACCGGAAGTACGAGGACGCCATCTGCAACCTTTTCTCATATTATTCCGACTTTAGTCCGTCGACGATGTCGACTAGAGATAAACGAAAAGAGAAAAAAATTTCGAAAAATTAAAAAGAAAAAAAATTCTTCGTTGCTTTGTTAGTAGTTTCACAGCTTCATTTCCATCAGAGCGGAAACCTGGTTAGGATACTGTACTTCCATTTCTCTGTACTTCTAACGACGATACTCCCATCCTGATCTTATTTTTATTTTCGTTCGTCGTAGTTTATCGATCATCGAGTCGATTTTCGTCAAATCGATTCGTTAAAATATTTCTCATCGAACACACGATGGATCTGGGAAATTCTAAGGGCCTAACTCAGGCATAGGCAACTCGTGCTCGTGTCAGGGTGTCTATAAAACCATTATCAAATCTCATTTGATATTTTCTGATTGACATTTATTTGATTGCAATTTAGTCGCAAAATTATGAATAAAAAAAATGATTTTGTTACTAAGGATGATTTATTCTTCTTCAATATCAGCTGTATATCATAGAATATCTTTACCTTGCAAAATTGTAATAATTTTTGGGTACCTGATATCGTTAATTGTTATTCCCAATCTTAATCATTGAAGAATATTAAATTTATTAATTCTTCAATTTTATCACAGTATAATAATGTTCCTTAAAGACCCTAACTTTTATCTTAACATCCTTCCTCAATCCCTTAAATATAAAAAATATCGTCAAATTTATCACACTCCTTTTGATGAATTAAAATTGACCTAATCGAAGTTCATTTCTTCTAAATAATTTTAGTCCTTTAATTGTATAGTACTCACTGAAAAGTTACACAGTTAACAGACTGAAGACTCCAATTCTTCTTCTTTAACACCCTTCATTATGTTTCTAAATTTATAACAATTACACGATATGTGCTTTTAATGTTCGTGTTCATGAATTAAAATTGACCTAATCGAAGTTCATTTCTTTTAAAAAATTTTAGTCTTTTAATTGTATAGTACTCACTGAAAAATTACACAGTTAACAGACTGAAGACTCCAATTCTTCTTCTTTAACACCCTTCTTTATGTTTCTAAATTTATAACAATTACACGATATGTGCTTTTAATGTTCGTCGAGAATTATTGTACCTCGTTTCTGGTCCATTTTGATATTTCTGAGGGTGCTGCGGTTTCCATGCCCACAGAATTACCTCCGCACGAGTAGCGTAGCAACTCTCATCCGCGCGGGCACCAGTTGCCCATGTCTGCTCTAAATTTTCCTAAGGATTACCCTTTACGTCCGCATTCGCCCGCGGTTCCATCGTGTACACTTTTTATCGTGAGAGAACGAGCTCTCGAGCGGATTGTGTCGCGCGTCGATAAGCGTGTTAGCATCGTTTCTTAGGCGTGTGTCGAGTTCTCCATCGCTGTTTGCTCGCGATGCAAACTACCCCGCGTAGTTTCGTACAAGGACCAACCTGTTCATAGACCAAACTGTAATCGTTGCGTATTATCTCGGCGAAATTTAAGGCCCAGGGCAGAAATTTGAACTACTACTGCGTTCACCCTATTTTTCGAAATTATTTTTCAAATGATAAGTATATTTCTGTATATCTTCTTTTCAAGCTCTGTTCTCTATACAGTAATATGGTAATTCGTTGAAAATTGGTAATACAATTTTGTATTGGGAACACTGGTCCTTGATACAATTTTGTACCGAAATTTAATTTCGAGAAAGTATATTTTTCATTAGGATTAGGTGATAATATTTATGAACGCTTTTCATGAAGTTAAATAGTCCTGTTAAGTATGAAACAATGGGGATGAAATATCTGGCGAGACGTCTTTAGAGGGTTAAGGCTTCTTGGAATTGAATAAATGTACTAATTAAATGATAGTTCGTTGTTCAACGATTGTGTTGACGACAATTGTGTTCAATTCAATAGGTACTACTGTACTTTCGTAATTGACCCTTTAAAATTAAACGTCTCGAAAAATATTAATCTCCTGGTATTTTTAATTAAACCTTTCTTGTGGAAAGTAGATTAGGTGTCAAAATTAAGAGACATTTTTTCGCGAAACAATATTACATATGTTAGTGATCAAGAGTTATTTCTTTAATGATAAATAATTCAGTCTAACGATGGTATTATCAATAACAGTAATTGCAAGTCAAATTTGTTCTTTCTTTCTTCTAAAAAATTAATTTTTTGGCACTGATGTTACTTTCCATAAGAACGTTTTAATTACATTACTAATTGCTATAACATTTTATATATAATTTAAATTTATATCACAAATGAAAATCGTCGTGTAAAATTTTTGCACTTGTCAGGTCGAAGTAATTCATTGCATTCATCATTATTGTTAATATCCTTCATTTAACCCATTATGTCTCGAAGTTGCAAAAACGCAATATTTCGTAACTTTATAACTAGTATGCTAAGAATTATTTTATTCCACTTAAATTAAAAATATATTATTAAAAGAAACCAAAGAAAATAAATTATTCTAATTAATTAAAAGAAATAAACAATTTAATTTGCAATTTTTATTCCTGGTCTTTAATGGGTTAAAGAATTTTCCTCGATTCGTTATTCTTAGTACTTTTTAGCCATTTCGTGCATCGCCATCTTTAATTCTCGTCTGCATCAGGTTAAAAGGTTAACATCCCTTGCGACAGTCACGTGTCTGTCGACCATAGGGACAAGACAGGTATCCAATAACAAACGTTCAAATTTCTGCTCTGGACTAGACGAACAGTCGAAGTTAGGCGATCACATTCGTGAATCTCAGGTTTGCTTTTCGTTCCATAGTCGTTATTACGTACTTACTTTCCCTCGTGAACTTCTGTACGCATAAACCGCGTCGACTTCTCTTTCCCACTCGAACGTTCTATCGTCGTTCGCATTAACTATAGTCAATTACGAAACAGAAAAAAAAAAAACAATGGAAGTTTTACACGAAGAAAACCGAGAACGATAAGAAAACGAAAAAAAAAAGAAATAAAAGAAAAAGGAAAAAAATGAATAATGTACTCGTTGCGCGCGTTCAATGTGTAATGTACGGCCTGTGCATAATTCTAAATTAGGTACAATCAAAGTAATCTCCGTAGGCCTATACACCTATACATATACACGTACACGTATAATGAGTATCTAATTATAATGTAATCAGCGGTTACCTATGTAAGAATTGAAACACGACCGTGTGCCAAGGTACACGGTATCCATGTATGTCGTATGCAACGTAGCCGGGTAAAGTACTATTTTGCCTTCGTCAAGAGTGTGATACAAAATATATGTGATGGCGGACGGTGCTGTGCTTCGCGTGTTCCCCGACCGTGGTGCCCTCTTTTAGCCAGCCGCGAAAGGGAGCTTCGAGCGTTACCCAAACTAGTATTTTACTCGTCCCGTGACACTGCTGCACGCGTTCGACCGATCGAAGTGTACGAACGATGTCAGGATCGATCATTAGACGGTTGGTGAACGAGATATATCAATGTGCCGCGCTTCTGGATACGTTTCGAACTGTGACCTATCACGTCGCAATTCCCTCGCTCCACGGCGACCTATAATGATGTAAATAACGAGATATTTTATGTACTCTATATTTATTGTATATATATATATTTACAGTGTACATGGAGTTGCTTAATTAATATAAATAACACGATAACACCGACCTTATTCGTTATTCCACTGTAGAAACGGACACATCGACGTTGTTTTTCGCGTTTCACGTTCGGACACGGGACAGGGTGTATTTTCAATCGGTAGAAATACAGTCGAAAATGCCAGTTCCTCCGAGTCGATTGTTCAAGAGAGAAAATTCGAACGGAACGCACCTGCCACTGAGACTCGTGAAAGGGGCTAGTTGGATCTTCCCTTTGTTCCATTTTGTTTTCTATTTTTCCCACTCGATCGATGTTCCATTGTACTCGCCGGGGTGGTTTAATCCCTTTCTCCAACGGAAATTTTCTCCCACGAATTTCGCGCCATTTTCGACTCGCCTCGGGTGCCATAGATCGCACCCTGTCCCGTGGCGTTCCCGTTGTGTTATAAATTAAATTATAAATTAAATATAACCCCGAATATTCTCGTGTATCTGTTAATATTAATATCGGTATTAATATTAACGATGGCCCGATCGTGCTTTTCGTCTGCGTTCTTCGATGCATCCATCACGACGTTTAAATAACATTCAGCGTCGAGCACCGAGTTTAGCCCGGAATAAGGTAAACGTTCCAGGTACTTATATTTACAGATCATTCTCCGCAGCATCCGTTATTCGATCAGTTTCCTACGCGACGATAATCCGCACGCCATCGTTGAAAATAAGGGATGCTCCAGGGCGAAATCGAACGATAATTCAATGGTCACGCGGCGCGTGCTTTTAAATAAATAATTTATTTAGGTACGTCTAGATTACGGTGTGAGGGTAATTTCAATTAAACCTAATCGAATACACGTGCATTTGGTATGTCATTTTTTCCACCAAGTTACATAAGATCCGATGGTAAAGCGAACGTCATCACAGGGTACCTAACGACATTGACACGGACATTCCCAGAGAAGGAAATATTCCGAAAAATTCCTGCAACTTCGTTATCCCTGCAGAAAGAATCGTTTCTCAGCTTGCCATTACACCACGATCCTTTCTACATCCGCAATTTTTGGCATTGTTCGATCCGATTATTTACACGTAAGGGTGAATGGTGCTAATTGACAGGGTGAGGAGAGAGTGAAAGGAGCAAAGTGAAAAAGAGAAGGAAAGTATCCAATGTCCTTCGTTGGAGCGTGCTTCCGTCTGGAAAACAAAGAAACATATATAGAGACTGGAATATCCTCTAAGAATCGTCGAAAGAGTACCCTCGGGTCGATCTCATCCACCTCGGAAGGACCTCTTGAAACGATGAAAAGCGACGAAACGTGGCGACTTCCGGTCGTTCCCTTTAACTCTTCTTAGACAGTTCCTGGAAGAAGGCCTCGATGGGAAGAGTGGGTTCGTCGTTGGGTATTTTGAAGTGCGGGGCGACCACTCTGCTCTCCGGGGAGACGGCTTTGAACATTCCAGGCTTGTCATAGAGGGCCGAAGCGGAACTGGTCAGGTCGGCCACGCTCTGCGACGCTTTCGCGAACAGTTCCTCGTCTTCCGAT